GGGGGGGGGGGGAAGAAGAGATGCGCGCTCGTGTCGGGCGGGGCTGGCCGCTCACGACTTGACTATCGCACGCCCCCACCACCGCAGCCCTTTGTATATACATGTATAAAGGTTCGCTCGGACGTCAAGGTGAGAGAGCGAAGAAGAGAAAATGAAGGAGTACATAGGAAGGATATCCACCTCCTTCTTTGGTGCAGTGCTGTGCATTTAACGTCTAAACTTTGACTTTGGAATTTTTATTCTCCGATACCACGCACGTCGGACCCTTCGTGCATATTCACAATGGCTCTGATTTATGTGTGACGTTTGAGCCCCAATCGAATCGTCTCGAAGGAGAGGGATGATAATACACGAATCGGGGCAAATGTGTACACAAACGCACACGCAACCCGTTGATCCATTATCTACTAATAGAAAACGCCAAAGTGATAAATCATCCGCCAGTTAAAAGGACAGAGCGAGAGGGAGGACAAAAGGCCGTAACGTAACGTGTAGTCGAGTGGGAGGAGGAGGGGGGGGGGGCTAAAAAATCTCAGGATAGCGCGAATTCATTGAGCGTTGAATTCAATGGGCCTCTAATTAAGCCCGACTCTCCGCGTGTGCGTGTGCGAGTGAGTCAGTTACCAGTCAATCAACTCCCCCTTCTCTCTCTTATTCTTAAAGAACCGTGATCTGAAAAAATCGCACAAAGAAAGGGCGCGAGCAGGGGAGGGAGAGAGAGAGGGACAACTTCAAGGACAGGGTGTGGCCTCGCGTGTGCATACCTGCACGTGTGCATGTGTGTATACAGGATACGTAATGACTCTCGTGCAGCGGCAGCCCTCCCTGGCGCACTATATGTGCCCTTTTAGCTCGTAAATCCTCTGTGTCACAATAAGAGCTGTGTACCTACGTGCCCCAAAGTGTGTGTACAATATGGCTACGCTCACCTGTCCCGGACACCTTTATTGGAAAATCAGCGAGCGCCCATAATACATATATATATATATATATATATATATATATATATATGTATATATGAGTACAGCCCGAGGGTCTCTATACTAATACACCCCATACGCGACCACCTCGGTGTTACGACTCGCGGTAGCCAACCCGCGCGTAGGTCTCTCTCGCTGCGTAATTTCTCGGACAATGCACGCGCGGGGTAAAATGCGCAGGTGCAATCGTCCGCGCGTACACGTGTGCATACGTGTAAGGTGCAGCGGCCTCGGACAAATTAACGGATACGCGTCCGTGTGCGCGATTCAATTCCCAAGCCCCCCCCCCCTCTTTGGCTGATTAATGAGTCCGCGGCATCAAAGGTGCAGCTCCTGGACCTGTGCGTATATACCCGCGTGCACACATATACAGAGCTTTTCATCGCGAGTCCTTATGATACAGCCGCGCGAGAGATCGCTCCCTTTCATCGATTAATTTTCCCGGCAAGGGAGCTAAGCACTCGCTCAATGGACCCCCCCCCCCTTTCCTCATGCTCAGCTGTATATTATGGCCGATTGCGCGCACCAGATGTAATTACATATGCACGAAGGAGCGCTCGATTCATTTGCGCATATAGTTTGTGCCCAAAGTGAGGCAGGCGTGTATGCGTTATGTATCCGAGGGGGAAAAAGAGCTTTTTGAGAAAGCGCGATCGATCATTGTCGCGTGACACCTGAATGCAAGCGCAACAAAGATGCTGTGTATATACCGCGTGCGTACCAATTTTCGTGAATCAATCGTGGTCATTCGAACCGTGGGATGTATGCGTATACAGAGCGACCGAGGGCCTTGATTGGGGTATTATGGGCTCTCGGGGCTATCGGCCACTATATCCTCAAATGGACGTCGTCGACGCGTCAATGGTGCGACAAAAACACAAAAATTTCCCCTCTCCATCGGCAGCGCATACGATGTACGTATATAATATACCTCCCCATCTGATTTACAGAGCTCGATCGCATTATGTTAATGCGGCTGAAATATTTATAAGTGCGAAAGGCAGAGGGAAAAAAGTCACGATCGCGAAATTAAAAGAGGAGGGGGGGGGAGAAAAAAATATGATGACGAACCTTCTCGAAATACCAATTTAATTGACGTAAACATTTACGCGCGCGTATATGTATGTAAGGCATTGCCGATAATCGCATGTAGACTGCTTACTTACTGTACGCAAATGTGCTCGCGAGACGCGCCGGCTGCCTTCATTATCAGCTGTGTACGGCGCACTTTGCTTTTCTCCCATAATTAATGTTATGCGCGTGTTGGTGTATACATGCATATTATTACACGCGGTCATTGGCGGACGAACGACGCCCTGTCGTGTATATACATGCAATATATTATAATGGCCATACGTGGGTCACGAAGACAAGGGAAATAAGCTCTTTACTTCGTGCCGACGCGCGTAAATACCTATAATGTACACATCTCAGCAATTTTTCATTCGGTTGAACTTGCACTAGCCAAGACTATACACTGAGAATTGGACAATCGTCAAATTATGACTGAAACAGGTGGAGTCAAAGACGTTTTGTAAAAAAAGTCCAACACGTGAAATCACAATATTCACGATAAAATCTTAACCAATTGTCGCTCAATTTCCTTTGTCTATGGTCGCAAGCTCGTGACTATTTCGAGGGCAGGGTGATAAGGTCGCCTTGGTATCGGAATAGCACAGTTTCCCCGAAATGTAACATCGATCCTCCCGCAAGGACTATAATAGTTTTCACGTAATTACTCCAGAGCTATACGTATTGAAACAAAAACGAAGAAAAAAAATAAAACGAAACCCTAGACCAGGCGAGCTTACCCCACTCGTCTTCCAATGGGACGTCGGGCGTTAAGCACCCATTAGACCGTCAAAAGACTCTATCGTCGTAAAACATCCCGAGAAGCCTTTTACCCGCGCGACGGAGCCCCCCCGCGTCAGGATGATCGACACGTATGCGATCGAGCTCTGTTTTCGCGTACACGTAATGCGTGCAAAAATACTTTATACGCGGACACACATGGCAAGCTCCCCCACAAGGGGCAATTAAGCATCAGGTCCAGAATTTATACACACTTACCGATCGCTCGACTCGAGAAATAGGTACGTGCGAAAGAATATATATACATACACGTAGGATCTCTAGCATAAGTACATGTACACATAAGAAGAAGAGGAGGAGGAGGTGGAAAAAGA